CCACTACAATCTGCACCTTTGTGCTTCAGAGAGGGTTCCCATTGTGCTCTTCCACATCACCTTTACTCCTAAGACTCATATTTAGTCTGCTAAACTTTTCCAGAGGGAATCTTATATTCTTGAGCCCTGATGAATTGATGTTCCTCTTCATTATAGCAGCTTCTGCCTGAACCTCAGCTTCAGCAGGAATTCTGGATCTGACCTGGCATTTTTCTTAATGTAGCTTTGCTTAAGCTGCTCTACTTGAGGAACAGCTTGTTTGATTTCCATGCTAAATTGCTTAGCCATAGCAGATTGATAGATATTTGGGGGCCTATTTGGATCATTTGTAGAACACAAGTTTATCATGAGTTGTTTCGGCAGTAGCATATCTGCAAAAAAAACCCCATACAATCTTAATTTGAAAACAATTGATGAATTGCTTTCCTGGGTAGGTCATAAGATCTTTATTACAGAGCATTATACAATATTACTGATAACTTAATGAAAAGAATACTACTAATATATATTTTTATTTTGACTTAACCTTTAGCTGACTTTTGTTCCAAAAATATCCCTTAAACTACCAGTAGTTTCTCCTTGTGGAAAGGTAAGTTAATTAATTAATCTTTATTTATTATATGGGAAAAAAAATTAACTTCTTATTGTTAAATATAAATTGCTAGTTTAAAATACCTTTTCTGAAGTTGTTCTAGAGCTCAACATGCTACTTAACAGTGAGCTGCCGTTTACATTTACAACACCACCTTCTCTACTGATGTTGATTCTGATGAGATTCTGTTGTTCTTACCACCGTTTGTGTCTAATGCACTGTAGATTTTCATACTGCCCCGTGGTACATGAAGTAGCTTAAAACACTAAGGCACATTTTATTTAGGTGTCAATTACCCATGCTGCAGTTATTTAGTGTTCTCACACTGTCATATGTGTTACTCACCGGATCTCTGCATTTTCCCTCTTCTGTTTGCATCTTCCACTCATCTGGGCACAAACAAATTACTCAAGTAACAGGCCTGTTGGTTGTGCTGGTCACAACAGGAAACTGATGCAGTTAGAGATGTAGTTATTTTGTTGAAGGTTTTGCGTGTTTGGTGTTATTTGGAGATGTGAAAGCAGATTCCTTTTATCCTATTAGTAGGTCAGTTTTGCCATCGGTGTAAATTGTGCAGTCCCTTATGCAGTCATTTTGTGGACATTCAGATCCAAAAGCAGACTGTGACAAAATGTTCTTTGTCACTGTCTGTAGACACATTTGTGTTTTCATCTCTTGCATGTAATGGGAAGTTGTCAATGTTTTGTATTTGTCATCACTGCTCATTATACTGAATTTCATGCATTCATGAGAAAATTCTTCCTGAACAGCTCTTTGTTTTTGTTCTGACTCTTTCCTTGGTCGCATTCCTTTTCATAAAGGCTCTTTAGCAACTATCGGCAACTAATGAGACTTTGCCACAATGTCTTACTTTGGGGTTTTTGTTTGTTTGTTTGTTTTGGGGGTTTTTTGTGGATGTGAGTTGTTTTGGTGGTGATTTTTTTTGGGGGGGGGGCGGGTTTGGTTTTTTTGTGTGTTTTGGTTTGGGTTTTTTTGGTTGTTTTTTTGTTTTTTAATTAGCTGAAGAACCATAGTCGATTTCTAGCGATTTTTTTTATTATTATTATTTAAAAAGTGTATTTTTTGTAAATATATGTATTATATAATGGATATCTCAGTGTGATTCAGAGATCTATGTAAGGGGCCTAATCAATCCTTGACTAATATATATACAGGTCCCAGGGACGCAGTAATAAACTGGCATTGACTGAGGAGGAAGATTCTTTTAACAGTATTCCTTGGTGAGCTGTTAAAATACAACAGTTTCCGGCACTCCAGTATGTTTAAGCATACACATTTCCCACCCTGCACTAAGGATATTCCCACATACACTGTTCACCTTTGTACAGTTAACAAAGTAATCTTTGACCTCTCAGCTTTCGAGGAGGAGTATCTTACCTGGAAACTACAAGTAACACTTTATTCTTCTGGTTTGATAACGCAAACGTCAGTATCGGCTAGCTGAGTTTCGTTTTGCATCCTGTTTTGGGTGAAACTCGGAGCTGTGGATATCTGAAACGCTTTTACACCTAGCAACCTTGTTTGCAGCATGTAATAGCTGTTGTCTTGATTTCCCTGGAGGAGGCGGCTGGAGGGAAGATGGCTTCTTGTGGCCTCTCTTACTGTATCACTTCCCAAGTGCCCGTGATCTCAACTCGGCACTCTCCTGTAATTTTCCTCACTTTGCTCACTTCTCTGCCATCGTTCCAGCAACGCCACATGCCTACCTCGCTGCTGCCGTTCCGCTGGCGGGGCTCCGTTCCCGGGTTCCCGCCGCACCTCCCGACCTGCTGCGAACGAGCGCGGGGCTTTCCCCTAGCAGGGGGCGGGCAGCGCGGCTCGCCGGGGTTCCGCAGCGGGGCGGGATGCTCGGCGCCCTGCGGCTTCTCCCTCCGCCGCGTCGACTCCTCCCATGCAAGCACACGGGGCGGAGCTGCACTTGCTGCAGGAACCTGCCCTTTAAGAGCCGCCTCCTGCCGCTGCTCAGCCCTGAGCCGCGCCCGGTGCCGCCATGGTCTCCTGGATAATCTCCCGCCTCGTGGTGTGAGTGCGTGCGGCCGGGGCGCGGGGAGGTGCGGGCCGTTGCTCGTGGCCCTTCCCTGGTGGTGCCTCGGGGGCCGCGGCCCACCGCGGGGCTCTGGCGGTGGCGTCGGTGCTGCCCTGCGGGACCCCGCGCCCCGGGAAGGGATGGCTGGGGAGCGGAGGCCCTCGCGGTGGCTGCGGCCGCAGACGGGCGGGTCCGCGCCGGCTGCTGCGGCCCACGGGAGGCGCCGCGGTGAGGGCTGCTGAGCCCCGCCCGGAGACCGGCATCGCACCGGCATCCTGAGGACAGTGCCCACCACCGCTGCCGGGGCGCCGCGAGGCACTGAGGGGTCTGTTCTTCTCGTAGGCTGATCTTCGGCACCCTCTACCCCGCGTACTCCTCCTACAAGGCCGTGAAGACGAAAAACGTAAAGGAATATGTGAGTACGGGCTCGCCGTGCCGGCGCAGCGCCCGCCTCGTCCTACGCGGCCGCCTCGCAAGCCCCCGGCCTGTCCCTTGGACGATGGCACTCCGGCTCCACAGGGGCTCGGGTCAGCCAGGCCACCCGAGCAGCAGCTCCAGTCGTCTCTGGAAAAGCTGCCAAGGATGGGTGCTCACTGAAATGGGAGGTTTTCAACCCGTAAACCTGGGCTGTTTTTTCTCAGGAGATGCTGTGTGAGGAAGGGAAAGCGGGGGAAACAGTGCAGTCTGGAAGCATATGCAAGTCTAAGACAAGTTCTTTCTTGTAACTTTGTCCTTATTTGTGTCCTTTATAGCTTTTTCAGTACTACTTTTGTTTTCTTCCAAAAGGATGCTTGGTTTGTGGCTTCCTATCAATTTTGCTTGTGATCAGTGTTTTATGTTGGTCAAAACTTCATTCTCTTTCCCTTCTGGAACTGTTTCCCTCTCTCCGTCTACACCATTGCTACAATTGCCATATTTAAAACAACAGACTTTTTTTGTGATGTAGCGTGTTGCCTTCTAACAAGAAGGGATGTTCTAAGTGGATCACTTGAGACAAGACCTATGATGTGGAAAAGTATGGCATTAATTTTGGAGTTTTGTGTAGTGATTCAATGGCATAGGTTTCCTGAAGTAGATAGTCTGGATTGCTGCAGCAAGAAATATAATTTTGTTTTTAGTTTCAGTGAAAATACTAGAGTGGTTCGAGAAAATGTATTTGAACTGCTAAAACTTACATATTAATTATTTCTCCTTGAGAGGACTGCATCAGAAATAAGCAGTTAGGTGTTGGACTGGCGTCTGTCTAATTCACTTACATTTGAAGCGCTTCTCTTCCTTCTCAACACAAGTGAAAAGATGGGGGGGAAACAGCAGAAGGGGTAATATCTGTTCAAACTGTTCTTCATGTGAAAAGTCAGCAGAAAACTTGAATGCTGTACTGCCCATTTTCAAATCCAGCTGTTTTATGTACTACTGCCTGCTCATAGTGCTTAAGAACCAACACTGGTTAGGGTTTGGTGGTGGAGAAAGGTCTTACAGGTGTTTCTGTGCTAAAGTGGTGTATTGAAGCTTGAGTTGACACTTGAGACCAAGCTACCACAAACAGTCCATCAGTGACACCAGAATACAGTGCAAATTTTGTCTTCTCTACCGTGATAAAAATTCAGGATAAATCCTCCAGCAGTTGTGGCAAACTGCTCTAGTAGCTCACATTGTCCTAAAAGCGATTTTCTTTCCTTTTTACATGTCGTCTTCAGCGTTGGTCAAGTCTACATTCCAATTATGCTTTTGCATTTTCCGAATTCCTTTAGGTTCTTGGTGCAAGCTGGGGAGACTATATATGTTCCATTACCTGAAGCTGGTGATCATCAGGCTGAGCAGCAAAAACCTGACTCCTTTTAGTGGATTGAAAAGAAACATGCAGCCTTATTTAACCCTTAGTTTTGGAAGGTGTTTGTAATCTGTCATAAATAAAAAAAAAAAAATAGGGCTTCTTCCCATCTGCTTTCTGCTCTTTTAGTTTCTGCATCTGCAGGGTCATCTGCAGGGACTTCTGGAACTAAAAGATGGATCCTTCTAGTTCATTTAGGAGCTATACGTTTTTTCTTTGGCTTTAGAGCATAGGGTGAAGGGTGACAGAAGGAGACAAAAGCAAGAGACCTGCATCCAGTATCAAAGATGTGAACGTGAAGTTTATTTAAACAGTAACAAAACAATGTTTTCTGTTCTCAGTTCATGCTCCTGAGCCTTCTGTTAGCAGAGTGAAAAATGAACACTAAGCTTAGACTGCCTACAGTGACCCCTTTTGAGTGACGTCTGCTAATATATGTAAATGCAATAATTTTCACTAAGAAAAAGCAGACACTGTAAATTCATTGCTTTGTATTTAATCCCATTTAGGGACAAAATGTCAGCCGGAGATCAATCAGGATCCTTTTTTTAAATTCTTTAGTCAACTCCTACCTAATCTCTTGGATAGGAAAGTATCTTCTGCACAGTTTGTCATTTTACTATTCACAACCTTTTCCAGATGTTTCATGAAGATGAGCAGCACAGATCTCAACACTGATTCCTGTGGGATTCCACTGGTAACTTTCCTCATTGTGAAAAGTGGCCATTTATTTTTTATCCTTTGTTTCCTTTTCTTAACTAACTGTTAATCCTCAGTAGTCCCTTCATTTTTATCCTTGATGATTTTGTTTTTTTAAGTGTTTGTATAGACCTGTTAGAAACTACTTAGAGGCTTCATATACCCTTGCCCTGTAAGGAAAGCACTATAGCTAGCACAGGCTTATGGAAACCTAAGTGTTCTGCTACACTTGTGAATTTTTTTTTTTTCTGAAAAAAACCCCATAATCTTAATTTTGTTACATATATGTAGGTATTTGCTAATTGCTTTTGTTGCTATTATTGCCTTCATTTTTCCTAATGCTGAAGTAAGATTTACTGGTGTATAGGTTTTCTGAAATCTCTCACCCTTTTGGATCCCTTTTTGCAAACTTAGATTTATCATTATTCACACACTTCTTCATACAAGAGCTGATTCATGTTGCTGCATCGAGGACTTAATCATTCATTTTGAAAAGTTGCTTTAGATCAGCTGAACAATGCCTGGTCTTGTCCAAACTGATGATACAAAAACAAAAAAAAAGGCAGGAGAGAGCCATAAAATACAAGTTTTGCTATTTTCTGTTCTGAAAAAGGAAGTTTACAATAAAGTGGAAATAATTTGGATTACTAACCCCTATTTTCTAAACCGTTCACTGTGTTAGAGTAGCTGGAGGCAGATTAATTTTCTTTTATGAAGAACTTGTGAAGGGTCTTTCAAGAACAAATCACCAAATTTTCCAACACTTGCAGGTTTGGGGCAATACCTGCTTTTATTGTATTTGCTGTAACAAGGCTTGTCAGATGTCATTATTATATGAACATAATTGTTCATGTGTTTTAGTATATGGATTAATGTGTGGATTTAATATGTGGCATTTACCTGATTCAATTTAGTTATTTTTTCCTATTCTTGATGACACTAAGAGTGTTAAATTGCTTTTAATTAAGGTGTCCTCTTCATTTATCTGCTATTTATGCTCTCAACATAAGTATGTTTCTCATATCCATGTTTCTCAACAAGATAGAAAACTAGCAATTTCCCTTAAAATTCTTAAGTTAAAACTTAAACTTTTGCATATGTGAGTGTATATATATTTTTTACGGTATTCATGATATATGGAAGAGTGTAACTTCTTAAAGTGAACTGATAAATCTTTTTGGATAAGTCATTTGGGACCTTAACACTATTGCCTCATAGTGTTGCTCCAGGGCATGCATTCATCAATGTATTTGTATGTGTTTCTCTATTTAGAGCACAGTAATCCTACATGTTTTCTCAGACTGAAATGTACCGTTTAGTATGTGTCCATCTCCATTACAGATTATATATGCTTTCTTTTTGAATCCGTCTTAATGTGTGGAGATGAGTCATTTATACTGAGATGACGTTTAACTTTTTTTCTGGGTTCTGGTGTATGTCCATTGAGTGACTGCTGTTTTGCAGGTGAAGTGGATGATGTATTGGATTGTGTTTGCCTTTTTCACCACTGCAGAAACACTCACAGACATTGTTCTTTCTTGGTGAGTTCCTTGGTGGCATGTTGTGGGTTTTTTTGTTCCTGCTGTGTCTTTCTTTTGGGTTTTTTTTTTACCTTTTTTAAGCCTTTTTTTTTTTAAGCTAAGAATAAACTGTGTCTCCTTTAGGAGTTTTCAATCCTTGTGAAAAGTCAGCAGATTTCTAGATACTGTGGGTAGTAGCTGCCATCTTAGCTGTTTCAAATCCTTTGCTTGCAAAGTTAGGGTAAATGCACAGTATCTGTAAAAGGATCTTCATCTGTTTATAACTTGAAATATTTCTGAGAAGCTGTTGATATGAACTAGTACGGTTTGAAAAATGATAGTCTAAAAGACACCTTAAAAAAATGGTAGAAGGAAGGGACCTATTTTGCTTTGACAGCCTTTTATGTGGAAGAGCAGATCACATGCATGTCTGTGCTGTGAGTGGTTTGCACAATGAACTTCACTTCCACTAGGGATTGGAATAGAAGGAAGCAGATTCTTACTCCTTTCAGTGCTCTGTGTCACGCTTGGCAGTATGGAGGCCTCCAAAAGTGATAATTCATTGTTACAAGGCTTCAACTGAACCTATGAAACAGGGTTTCTTCAGTTGCCTCATTGCTTTAGTGTTTGAGCTTTGGGTGCATCTCTGAAACAATGTTGGTCTAGAGTTGCATCTTCTAAAGAGTCATGAATTGCTACACATGCCTTACAAAAATGCTCAGCAGCTTTGTTTCTACCTGTATAAAATCTGAAGAGCAAAGATTGAAAAAGTACAAGAACTTTAGCTTATTCACATAAAGGACTTATGAAAACAGAAGTTTCTTCCTTCTAATTGAGTCAGTACAGAATTTGCATTCACTTGGTTGAAGAATCTCTGCTATACAATTTTCCCAGACTTTATTGGGTGAGGGTTAGAGATGCCAGGCTTGTGTTCTGCCTGCTCTTTTACACTGGGCCTGCTTTTTTTATCTGAGGAGTAGCTGTTGGAAGTTTCAGAAACAGCCTGAAACTGTCCATTCAGCTTTAGCAGGAATATGACATTATTAAGACACATTGTTGAAAAGTTTGGAAATTGAGAAGGGAAATTAATGTAACATTAACATATCCGCTGGATGCTCTCTGAAGAAACTTCAGAATTATGAAAGTAGCTATCAGATTGTAATTTGGTGTGTTTGCAGGGCTGAGAGATGCCCTGTTTATGGAGTTTTCATGGCTATGGATGAAAGACTAAATGATACTCGAAGAAGGTATGTCCTAGGATTCTAAAAAGGGTTCTGCTTTTCTGACCTGGATAATTGATTCTCTTGTTTCTGGCCCTTTACCTTGCCTACAATCTTTCCGCCTGTGTTGCTCTCTACTAGTTACCTCCATCTGTCTCTGTGCTGATCTTGATTCCAGTTCTCCATCTTTCTCTCTCTTCTCCTTTTTTTTTCTTTCCTCTTTCTCTCAGGTTTCCCTTTTATTTCGAGCTGAAAATCGCATTTGTGATTTGGCTGCTCTCCCCTTACACCAAGGGTTCCAGTGTCCTCTACAGGAAGTTTGTGCACCCAACGCTCTCCAATAAGGAGAAGGTACTTGCTTGTTGTTGGAAGATATGGACCTGTCTGGGGACTGACTGACTTGTAACTTAATTATGCCACGATAAAAACTGAAATCAGTGAATCTTCCTTGTGCTGACCTTAGTGAAAGCAGAATGTTTCTGTGTCTGACAACGATGTCATACTGCAGCTTACTGAAGATTGCAGTGTAGCCAATAGTTTGCCTAATGCGTAGAAAGTGTGCTTGGCTAACCCAGTGTCATGAGCCCTTACAGTCACTGTCAGTAGTTAAGCCTTTTGAATCGTGATAGGAGCAGCATGTTCTGTAGCCGGTCTATTTTTTCGCATTGTTGGTGTAAGCAACTGCTTTGTTTCACTTGTTATCATTTGGAAATACTGTACTGTAATTTAAAGCTGCATTTACACACTTTCTCTAATTAGCAGAGAAACTCGAGTTATATCATCAATGACACCAATGAATAAAGAGTGCCCAGATGAGCCTTGTGTTTTTAAGGGTGATGATGGGGAAACTTTGATCGTGTTTGTAATGAGGAGCTAAATGCCATGTTCCATTCCTAGGAAATTGATGAATACATTACTCAGGCTTGTGACAAGAGCTACGAAACGATGATGCGAGTTGGCAAGAGAGGGTTAAACCTTGCTGCCAATGCAGCAGTTACTGCAGCTGCAAAGGTAATGCAATGCCATCTGTAACATTCAGGACTTCTCCAGCAATTTATTTTTGTGTAGCAGCAGTTAGGTGTTACGGGCCTGTTAGGGATACTACTATTTGTTTGGCACCAACCTACTTTCCCCTCCTTCCAGTTTGCTCTGCAGGTGATTCCATCCTTGACTTAGAAAAAGTAGAAGGGTAGTGGAGTGGATTTTGCTTTAACATCTTAGTTGTTCTTGGGAGCATACATTTTTCCTTCTCTGTTTTTTTCAGAGAATCCTAGTGGGGAATAGGGCTCCTCTTCTGAATGAGTGATCCCATGTGAGATGATCTTGATGAGGTGCCTTTCACCCTAATTTTATGTCCTCTTAGGGCCAGGGAGTTTTGTCTGAGAAGCTTCGAAGTTTCAGCATGCAGGATCTCACTCTGATCCGAGATGAAGATACTGTGCATATGCGAAGCCGTGATCCACAGCTGCACCGCTCTGGTGCGAGTCTTCTGGAACCTATTGAAGACTCAGGTACAGAGCACCTGCTGGGCCATTTTATGAGACCTCGGATGGTGAGCCAGGAGGGCTTCCCTGAGCCTTGGGTCTCAGAAAGGAGTACAAGATTGTAGATCATCTGGGAGAAGTTGCATTGTCTTTCCTAGAGCCTTCTCATTTAATACATCCCTGTACTTATCTCATTATCATTATTTAGGATGGTTGACATCTCTCTGTCATGTGTTCCTTGAGGATGGGCCATTTTAAGCCTCGTGATTTCTTTTTAAAAGATTTGCGAAAACTTTTGCTCTTGTTCCTTAGCTTCCTGTTACTCCTCGGGAGAGGAGAGCAGTATGGCACATCGGTCTAATGGAACCCCATCAGACACTAGAACAGACCCATCAGATGAAGATGCAGGAGACAAAGTTCCTAAACGTACCCAGAGTCTCAAAACTCCTAAAAAGGTGATGAAAGCTGAGGTGAGTTGGTGTACAGATAATTTCCAGCACTGACGTTGATTTGTGAACTTGGTTGGAAGGCTCTAGCTTTATAGTCTCAGCATGTAGAAGCTGTATGTATAAATTTTGTTTATAAAATGGACTGTCTTTGCTAGATGAGTCCTACGTCAGAGGACTTGTCTACTTGCTGTACTTGTCTCTAGCTTTTGCATTTTTATCATGCCTGTAAGCCTCTGTGATAAGCCAGAACCCAGCTTTTCTTTCATTTGGGTTTTGTGTCAAAGGGTGGAGCATGAGATATTTTTAATGTGTTTTGTTGACAATATCCTCTCTCCTGTCTGCTGCGGTCTGAATTTATAACAGTGACATTTATTGCCGGGACAGTCACTTTCATCACTTTTCACTTTCTTTTTCATCATCTAAATGCAGCAGTTGTGTACCCTCTTAGGACTCTCTTGGCTTTTACACATTAGGTATGGGGAATTACACCACTCCCCACTTACCCCATTCCTGGGGTTTTTTCTTGAAGTTTGAGTAACTAGTGATTGTTCAGTTGTCTTCTTATGTTCACATGATGATCCAAGGTATTTACAGCCATTCAGATGGGGCATGAGATGCCTGATTTCTTATTATTAAAATAAACCATACATGAAAGTAAATGCAGTCATGTACAAGAATCATTTAATCTTAGCAATCTTTTTTTCAGGTATTTTCATGTGTATTTTCTAGAAAATGCTTTTTTGAGGTGCTGCTTTCCAGGTCTCGACTCTTACTTGAGTGTTTCTTATAGTTAGATTTGTTGTACATGATAAAATGCTTCTCCCGTTTTATGAAGTTGGGGTCCTATTTGCTTGATTAAAGTTGGATTTCTAATGTTACTATTTTTATCTAAGATAAAGAATGCTATATAACTGATGCACATTGTCAAATATTCAGGCTAAATATGAAGTAGTTTGAAGAAAAGTAATTGCTTAGAGCATTAGATTTTAAGTTGTACTGCTAATCTGATTTTACAGTGTGTGGAAAACTTTCCATGTGCTTAAAGTGCTCCTTGTAATAGAATCACGGAATAATTGAGGTTGGAGGGGATCTCTGAATTCATCTGATTCAAACCCACTGCTCATGTAGAGCCAGTTCCCAGGCCTAGATGGCTTTTGATTATCTCCAGGGATGGACATCTGTGTCCACAGATGCATTTTAATTTAATTTGGATCTTTCTGTGGTTTATTTCTGAGTTGACCCCTCTTCTTTCTTGTCTACTGTATTAGACAGGAGCAAGGAAACAAGAGGCTCGAAATTTGAGTCAAAGCTTCCTAGTGAGGACTTTTCAAATTGAAATTGTGAAAAGACAGACTGAATTCTTCTATGCTGTTCATTGTGAATACAGAAATACTGATAAAGCCCTTTGCAGGCATATTGATTTTTATGCTCAGACGGTTGGATCTTTGGGTCAGATGTAGGACTTGTAGGAGGTCTTTGACTGAGATCTCTGAGGTTGCCAGGCAGGGATTAATGCATCATGGATGACTAAATGTGCTCTTCTTGCCAATATCTAGAATGAAGGACACAGAAGTAAAGTGTGCAGATTAGTTCAGGATGTTTCTGCAGCTTTCAGAGAACTGCACTGGTGATGGAAGTTAAGAAGCAGAAAAGTTAGAGTAGTGAAATGTTATATGAATGTTACCAGTTAGAAATATCTGTGCTTAACCTTTTGTTTGGACAGCTGGCTTTGATTTTGCTACTGTACATACCCTGCTTTAGAATGTCTTCTCCTGGTTGCTATTTGATGGATATGTTGAGTGATTTATTTAATGAAAAAAAAGGAATGGTTAAATAGCCTTTTCAGACAACAGATGACATGAATAGGGTCATCATCATGTTTTGTCCTATTTTCACTCTGCATTCTTGCATCTTTCTGTTAGACATTTAGATGTTAAAATAAACTAGCCTAAGATGCCTCTTTCTCTTTCTCCTCAGCTTCCAGTGAGAAGTGTAAAAGCCCGCCCTAAGAAGAAAGCTCCTGGCTCTCTTGCTTCTGGCGAGTCATCCTAAGGCGACCTTCCCGCCCAGCACCTGTCTCTGTCCTGGGACTTGCCTTCTGCTTTCATGGGGAAACTCTCCAAAGGAAGGGAGCTGAGATTCTTGTACATAATAGATACTGCTTTACAGAGCTCATTCCAAGGCAAGGGGGAGGCTGGGATTCAGAAAGCAGAGTAGAGGATACAAATCCTCAGGAATTTTCTCCTTTTCATCTCTCTGTTGGAGGGAATGCTGATATGTCTGTACATAGCCAGTTGCTTCGGAATTCCCACTGTATAACTAACTCTAGTTGAGAATCTTTGCTGGAAAAACCGACTAGGGTTAGAGACATCCATTGCACAGAAGCTGGAAAAATACTAGACACTGGAGTTCCACGGGGTGTGTGGCTCTCTAAAATGTCTTATCTTGCTCTGGGTATTCTCCTGCAGCTGTGTGTTGTTAAGAAGTGCCCACCATGAGTCATATTCCTTTAGAATTGACTGTACCTAATATGTCCATCGCCTTTGAGAAAGTGACTGAAGTCATGTATGCTGAGTGCTTTTGAACATAAAGGACTGGCTCATGGGAGGTATATGCTAGAGTCCTGTTACTCATACTGGAAGATGAAGAGATTGGTTTTTGTTTTATTTTTTCTGGAAGGTGAAGGGAGATAATTGGAAAAACTAATAAAGAAAATGTGCTATTAGATGCACATTATATGATGAAGTAGTTAAGAGTTACTCTTGAGAAGGAAAGTTTGGCATCTCTAAGATTCTGGCTCTTTTTGAAGCTGCTGGATTTTATTTCAGGTTCTAATGCTTACTCTGACTTCGTGAGAGCATCAGAATGAGGTCAGTCACGTGCAGTAGGTCCCATGCAGTTCCATGGAAAGCATACTCGCTTTGCCATTTGGTGGTTGAACCCATGCCATTGTGTTGCTTGCTGCTTCAGACAAATTCTTTTATTCTAGAAGATTGGGAAAATCTGTCTCAAAATAGTCTGCGGGCATACTTGAGAATTTCAGAAGCCCTCACCTCTCAGCTTTAGGAGAGTCAATCCTCAGGACATGAAAACCGAAACAGTTGATTTATTAACAGTTGAGTTCCGTTAACTTCAGGATTTCGTTTATGGGGGATAAAAAGCAGGGACTATGGCACAATACTGTGATTAATCAGTCCTCTTGCTTTATCCTGCTGCAGCCCTTGCACAGATTTTCTGTCTGACATTGTGCCATGTTTATCAGTGTCCTGAGACTCAAGCAATACTTAACACTTGGGACAGAAAACTACAAGGAATGTAGAATATGTATTGTGGGAGTGAAATTGCAGTGCTGCAGAGAAAATTTGCCGAGCCATACTAATCTCTTGGACGTTGTTAAGGGGAGATCCCCTGTACACATGCCAGCTGAGTCAATGAAAATTTATGAGATATATGAGTAGAGTTCTTGTTGTTAAGATCTATAATGAAGGTGCACCATTATAGACATGGGTGTCTGAATGCATACTAGATGGTCTTAATTTTCACTGAAATTAATTATCACAGGAACCTGCATACAGGTGTTTTTGTCCCATATTTTTGCTGTCACATTTCTAAAATTACAGTGAATTCTTCACAGAGAGCCCAGTATTTTGCTGTTGACAAGCTATAGAAGCACTTCTGCAACTAATGCTCCACAAGTATGTCTGTAGCCTTTCAAAAGTATAAAGTTGAAGATTAGGAAATAAGAAATTTTCTTATTTCCCATTGTCTTGGTGGCAAATTTTTTGCTCTTGAATTGACCAGTTATTTCAGGAAGCCAATTAAGTTGGGTTTACTATTTTTCATAGCTTTTAAAGAATTAAAAACCTTTACACTCCATGTTAGAAACTTACATATTGTGAGAAATATTTCTCCTAAATTATCCACATGGCCTTATCCAGAAGCCAGTAGGAAATCCTTGATTCTGAGTTTAAAAAAAAACAATTATTTTTCTCTTTTTTGGTTTATTAGCAAACTTCATATTCATGTCTTACTAGCACATGCAAATGCATGCAAATGAAGTAGGAATACTTCCTATTTCCAAATGAAATTCCTCTCTCCAAACAGCATAAAAATCTTTCATGGGTATGTGAAAGATCCAGTCATGAGGAATCGCTTTCCTAGATTTTACTGTACTGAGCAAGAGAGAAGCATCATTCTTCTCTATATACCAAGTATGTCTATGACCATGTTTCTTGATTTTTTTTTTAATCAAAATTTTGCATAGCGAATTATTTATGTAAATCGTTGTGAGGGATTTGACTTGGAGGCCAAGTCTCCCCTTGCACTGATCTTCTCGCCCTTTCCTTGTGCCTGCTGTGATAGTCTGTGGTTACTAGGTTTCCACGGAGTTGCTTTCCAGAATCTTCTCTAGAATCCATTTATTTGTAGTGGCTTTTCTGCTTTGAAGCACAGGAAGAATTTCTGAAGATTCAGTTCTGGTATTTGGATTTATCTTTGTCTTCCTAAGCTAGGTCCTGTGCTAAGCAGCTTTTACTTAGCATTGATGCTTGATGTCATTAGCTTGTGGGTAAACAAGGGGAATTGGCTTTTGTTTGCAAGCGTGAGTCTGCAGTAGAGTCAGGGACTATCTAGTGTGCGGTATAAAGCTGATGATGTCGAGCAGCAGAACTTACCCAGAGCAAGAGCAATGTCTTAGCACGGATACTGTTTTGTTCTTCTAGTACAAATGTGACTGCTAGATTGTGCTTTGCTTGATCAAAGCCACTGCAGATCTGCCACCACCCACGTGACCTCTTAGTGAGTTTCTAGATACAGTTCTGCATTGGATGGCACTGTCTTGCATAGAAATTCTCTTGTTAATGAGAGCGCTGAATGTGCTGTTTTGATAAAACGCTTTTATCAGCTGCTGTTTGGTGTTTTCAGCAGGAAATGCTGGAATGTAGTTTCTCTTCAGTGTCATCTGTGGGCTTCATTGTGCAATTATGCAAATGGTTAAATCTTCACCTAGCAGTATTGTGTTCGGTAAATGTTTAGAGCCTTTTCCTAATATGCCTGGCCACGGAGAGAAGTGTAATAGGAGAAAATGATTCTTGAAGGTGGGGGCTGAAGAGGGTGGTATGGGTGTGTCAAACTTTGTGTGCCTATAAGTTATCCTAAAATACCTGTACCGTGACATACAAAGTTGAAGCCATGACTGCCTTTTGAAAAGAAATGTTTTCCATGCTTTGTAGTATTATGAGTCAGTGTTCTGCTGTTGGATAAGAAAATAGTGAAATACGGTTTCCTATCTGAGAAACTTAATGATTTGTTGCATAAAAGGGAAAAATGTTTTCTTGTTGGCAGTAATCCTCCGTGGAGAGTAAGAAGTGTGAAAATATAGGGGAGACAACTGTCAGGTTTTAAACCTTTATACATTACCTAAATATCTTTATTACTTACTTCTTAAAAATTGAGTTTGTGATTCTCCGGCTTTACATTTCTGGGACTGGTTTCTTTTAGACTAGAATAATTTCCTTGGTAGGTAGAGCATATATGAAGAGACGGGTGCTAGTGTTCTTAAAATTGCAAAGCTTGTTCTGGGGAAGTTTCACCTTCCCTCATTTTAATGACTTGATTTCCGTTCATTGTACTTTTGCAGTGCTGGGCTTTCTTTTATACATCCCTCTTGGAAGGACAACTCCCTCACAACAGACTTTCTTGGAAAGCAAGATTTCTAGAGAACCACAACTTTCCAGAAGTGATTATTTATTCTGTGCCATCTTAATCAGCAGGAAATTTAGTGCCTTAGGAGAAAAGTAAGATTTATATGGAGAACTCTGCTGGTTCTCTGATCTACACATAGCATTGTATTAAGAAGGCTCACAAGGTAACTGTGAAGTGTCATTGTATGCTTGAGAGCAGCTGTTGAATTGAGCTGATTTCTTTCTGTCTTCCAAAGTTGCATGTAATGCTAGAAAGTGTGGATTGTTCCCTAGGAGAGAAATCTAGGGAAAAAAGTTGTATTCTTATGGGGGCACTGTATTGTCACATTACTGCTTGCTGGGGAGATACTGAATGACATCTCTATGTAACTGGTCTGTACTATAGCTTTTATTGCTTTAGGCACTAGAAATTTGTAATGTGCTGTCTGGCTGAAGCAGGTTGTGGTGCTACTTTGTGAGTTACCTTGCAAAGTCAGATACATGAAAAACCAGGAAAGTATTCCGAAGTTACGTGAGCTTGTGGAACTACAGAGGTGTCAGAGTTGGAAGGGGCCTCTGGGGGTCCTCTGGTTTGACCTTGCAACTCAGTCGGGGCTGCCCACTGCCAGTTCCTGTGTGCTATTTCTGGTCTAGAATCTACTGAGTTTAATGTTTAGGACCTTGATAGTATGTGCAGAAATGCATATACTGCATGAGAATGTGCTTTCGTGTTACTGAGGAGAAATGTTTCCCGGTCACTTTTCATCTGGTATTTGGCTCCGTTGCAAGACACTATAAACATAACTCATTCTTATGTTCCTTACAGGTATTGTTAAAACACCTGGAGGCCTCAAAAAATATCTTAAGAGGTATGAAGATGAAGTTGTGAAAACAGTTGGTTTTAACAGTAGATGGAGGCAATAATTGCATAGCAGCTAAGAACCTGTCTTATGAGATACATAAATAGATAGAATTAGAGTAGAAAATGAGCTGTGTATAGTACAGAGTTGTCCAGTAAATATTGCTAACTTTCTGAGCCTCAAGCAGCACTTAAACTCGGCATTCTACAGATGAGAGCTTGATTTCTCTTTTGAGCCTGATTTCTCTCTTAGAGTCAATCTCTGTCTGTTTCCTTCCCTCCCTTCCCCCTTTCGTTCCACCCCCTCCCCAACCCCAATCTTCTAAACTGGGCTTCAGCTACATACACTGAGATTCTTCAAACTTTCATCCCTTCAGAACAATAAAGTTTGACTTTTACCTCAGCAGGCAACTGATCTGCAGGGAGGACCAGATGAATATCGAGTATCTGTCATCACTTTGTAGATGTGTTATGCTGGAGAAGTACTAGCAGGAAGCTCCAGAAGATATGTTTGCCCCAGAAATTCTACCCTCTGCTCCCTGCCAAAGCCTGCATTTTTTGGTGAACCAAATGCTGGACTTAGCTGTGCTCACACACTGAGATCTGTAGAATCCCAAAATTCAGTGTCAGAATTTCTAGTGCTCTATTCCTGATGATAACAGGAATTAAAATAATATGAAGTGAAAAGAAACCGTGGCAAATTGGTGGGGTTTTTTTCCTGCAACTTTGCAGGTGAATTTAGGTCATTGCTATTTACATGCCTAAAATCTTTGCCTAAAGCCCCTTGCAAGCTATGTGTTACTTTCTTGCTCTCTTTCTGAGCTTCTGTTCTGTGAATTGGTTATGTTTTTAATGTTTACTCTTATTAAGCAAGGACGGGCTTCCATTTTACTGACTGTGGAGATTTGAAATATACTGTATTAGAGCTGTAATATAGCCTTTTTTCATTATTTAAACCTATGACCTAGATTAATACATGTAACTTGTGCAACAAGGCCTAAGGCCGGATTCCCAGGTGGAACGTGAGCATCTATTGCAAATAGCATAGTTTGACGTATTTCCCTTTTCTTGCAGTGAATTCTGACTGAAATGTGCTTACTGCAGACCCTTTGGACAAGAGCATTCTGTCAGTGTTTAACCAGATAATGTTAGAAGTAACATTTATGGGAATACTGCAACAATAAGTGATCACTAAAGGAGCAAAAGCTCAAGTCTTCTGTAATATATCTGTCTGAGACTATGTAAAACACTAAAGCATTTCTGGCAGCAGTGGAAATACATTGCTATACTGACTTAGAAAGGTAGGAAATTCAGTCGTGGTCTTTGTAGCAGGTTTGGGAGGAAAGTCAATCTGGATGGCAAGCATATAAAGTTTTACATATCAGGGAACTGAGTTTTTATCACAAGTAGTGCTTAGTAACTTACCAAAAAGAAAGAAGTTGAAAAATTTTGGTGACTATTAAATGGAGAGGAATTTTCCTGATCATCAAACCTAGTATTGAATATAAACCTTCTGTATTTGTGCTGCTGCCTTACTTGGGAAAGCACTGAGTTAAGGGACTCTTTATTTCTGGCTCCTCTGTTAGATTATTTCTGAAATTAATCTCAAATTAGAGATGCTTGGGTTTGACTCAGCATTTTAATGTCGAAGTCCCCATTAGCATAGTGCTAATCCACGAGGGTTGTGGATTACTCTTTGTCCACCAGAGGGTATAAGCGGAACATAAAATCACTGACTATCTCACAACGGTTAGTTCAATTATGACAGTTGAACAGCAATGTTTCCTAGGTATGCGTGAAGGCCCTACTTGGGGATAAGGGGCAAAACAAGCTGAGGCTCTAATGGAGAAATATGAAATAATACTGCTGTTAACCTCTGACTGAAAAGGCTATTTAAGCTTTCTGGGCATTCTAATTGAGCCACTATCCAATGCGGCTCACTGAGACAATAGTGTTACAGAATAACTGTCCCCACTTTTTTTCTTTTGTTCTACATTCAAACCATTTTTTAGCTGCAGGAAGCAGCTCTGAAAATGGCAATGTTTGTGATTCCAGCCCCCACCACGGGGCTCCCCCCCTTCCCCCCCCCCACCCCCGCTTTTTATTAATTAACCAATTGCTGTGTGCTGTTCTACTTTATACTCTGAATTTTAGTAGTATTTCCTGGTAAGGATGAGTATTTTCTTTCAGTTGGATTTATTTTCTGTGAAAAGAGAAGCAAATTTAATCTAAAAATACAGATCTATCTGATGTTACTATGGTAATTTGTGACCATGGCAACAGAGAGTTAGCATTCTGAAGAACAGGCAGACAGATGTGGTTGGGTTTTTTGGTTTTTTTTTTTTTTAAAGTCAATGACCTAATTAATGGTGCACTCATTTCACAAAAAGAACCTGACTTTTAGTATTTGTTAACCATACAAGAGCATATGGGTCCGAGGGATTTTAACATTCTTACATAGAAGAGCTGATCTGAATGAGCAGACAGTGCAGTGGAGAAAAAAACTGGCTTAATGGCCATGCCCAAGGGGGCAGATCAGTGCCAGAAAGTCTACTCAGAGGCATACCTCAGGGTTAGGCCCATTCTCTCCATTAATGATGGGGAAGTGTCAGCAAGTGTCCTGGCAATACAAAACTGAGATGACTGGCTGGAAGTAGCAAGAGGAACGTAGGTTATTTTACCTTCACTCTCAAAACACATGGAAATCCTAGTAGGGACATAACGTAACAGTATGAGATTCTTTCCAATGTTATGAAAACCTTTTACTTACAAACAGCAAAGATGGAGACTTGCAGACTGAAGGAGGATCCAAGACATACCAGGAGGTTTCTGTAGGAAAGAAAAATAGAATTTAGAGTAGTCCTGGGGATTCTTCAGTGTCAGACTTCAGGGAAAAACAAGGAGAATAAAATGTAATTAGTATGTCTCTATTTTTCCTTCATATGATCAGAGTTAGGTAGACCAACACAGTACTTTTGGGCAGGTGCTAAATTTCAAGCACAAGTTGTGGATTGCCCTGGTGTGTCCCATCCCAAGAGCATGTACTGCATTCTACAAAACATTTAGTAATGGTTTAAGGAGTTATAGGAAATTAACTTGTTATTGAGGGAGTTAAAAATGGGTATTTGTGGCTAAGCCTTGTACTTAGTGTATTTATGTCTGCCAGTGTAGAGCAAAGGCTCTCTACTGACAACACTCAATGTCAGTTTTATAGGAAGAGTGTGGATACAAGTTTAGCCAAAGCCAAACCACAGATTTTTTCCAAGCTTTTCCTTTTTTCTAGGCTCTGTTGGGGAATCTAGCAACTGAATAGCAATTATAACATTGCTGCTATCGCTTGCTTATTTGGGGCAATGAATATATTGAATTAAATAGAATTAAGCAGCATTTAATAGCTTAATTTTTGTAAAAGCCAGCTGTTGTGACCATTCTGTATTTACCGCAAGAATATGGTAACTGACGCCTGGAGCCATTGTAACGTGGGAAGGCTATTTCCTCTGAAAAGGGCAAGCAGAGAAAAGGCCAACCCAAACTGAACTGGTTCAGCTAGTGTAGTCTTCTGTCTCTGCTACTGCTCAGTCTATTTGATGACCAGAGGGTAATTTGGAATTAAACACATGGTGGAAAATACCTCATCATGACACTGTCACCTTTTCACCCATGTGCTGAAGCACAGTGGTGTTAAATGAC